AGAACGAGAGGGAACGGCTTCAAGCTCCAACAGGGTAGGTTTAGATTGAACATTAGGAAGGAATTTTTCACTGGCATTGGAATAGGCTGCCCAGGGAGGTGGTGGAGTCACCATCCATGGCTGTGTTGAAGGGACGTTTAGATGCGGTACTGAGGGATATGGTGTAGGGGAGGACTTTGTAGAGTAGGGGAGATGGTTGGACTCGATGATCCCAAGGGTCTCTTCCAACCTCAATGATTCTATGATTTTATGATCTATGAATGGGGTATCGGTGCTACCCCGGGGGCTGGGAGAGCCTCATCCAGCCTAAAAAGGCAGGGGTGAGATGGCTGTGCTTGTGCACGGGGGGATGGAGAAGGGCAAAGCCCCATTTCCTGCGTGTTTGCAGTCGCTTGTAGCGGCTCCTCCGCTCGCCAAAGCCTTTTGGCAGAATTTCTTTCCCCTGCGGTGACCAGCATCCTGCCACCAGCTGCTCCCTTTTGGCTGCACTCCTTGTCCCCTTTTTTTTTTTCTCTGCTCCTTTTGCAGCTGGATGTGAAAAATTCCAGCCGCTGCGTGAGTCCCCCAGCTGCTTCCCAGTGTTTTTCCCACCGGCGGCTACAGCCCCGGAGGCGGCTGATTTCCAAACATCCCATGGCTGGGCAGTGAGGTGGTGGTGAGCTATGTGTTTTCTTATCCCCAGAAGGCCTCACGTTTCCTTTTATGGCCCTCATTTGAGGTTGGTTTCGCAAGAGGATGTTACAATATTTCACATCTTTTCTCCAGAGCAATGGAGAAAGTTTCTTGGTTGCCCCAAGACTGTGCCTGCGCTCGGACACTTGCTGCAGGGTGGGAACGGTTCACCCGTGACTCCCACCACCACCTCCTGTCCCCCCAAGTGAGAGGTGATGCTCCAGCACCGGGATGGAGTGATGCATGGCAGGGATAAAGCCAGCTGGAGTGGTCCCCAGCCAGGATGGAGCGATACGTGGCCAGGATGTCACGCGTGGTCGGGATGGAGCGATGCATGGTGGAGCAATGCGTGGCCACGATGGATTGATGCATGGCTGGGATGCAGCAATGTGTGGCCACGATGTGACGCATGGCCAGGATGGAGAGATGCATGGCCAGCATTGAGAGATGCATGGCTGGAACAGAGTAATGCATGGCCAGGATGGAGCAACACATGCCTGGGATGGAGCGATGCATGCCCATGATGTGATGCATGGCCAGGATGGAGCAACACATGCCTGGGATGGAACGATGCATGCCCATGATGTGATGCATGGCCAGGATGGAGCAACACATGCCTGGGATGGAACGATGCATGCCCATGATGTGATGCATGGCCAGGATGGAGCAACACATGCCTGGGATGGAACGATGCATGCCCATGATGTGATGCATGGCCAGGATGGAGCAACACATGCCTGGGATGGAACGATGCATGCCCATGATGTGATGCATGGCCAGGATGGAGCAACACATGCCTGGGATGGAACGATGCATGCCCATGATGTGATGCATGGCCAGGATGGAGCAACACATGCCTGGGATGGAACGATGCATGCCCATGATGTGATGCATGGCCAGGATGGAGCAACACATGCCTGGGATGGAACGATGCATGCCCATGATGTGATGCATGGCCAGGATGGAGCAACACATGCCTGGGATGGAACGATGCATGCCCATGATGTGATGCATGGCCAGGATGGAGCAACACATGCCTGGGATGGAACGATGCATGCCCATGATGTGATGCATGGCCAGGATGGAGCAACACATGCCTGGGATGGAACGATGCATGCCCATGATGTGATGCATGGCCAGGATGGAGCAACACATGGCCAGGATGGAGCCATGTGTGGCCACGATGTGATGCATGGCCAGGATGGACTGATGCACCGCTGGGATGTGATGTGTGGCTGGGATGGAGCGATGCGTGGCCAGGATGGAGCCATGTGTGGCCACGATGTGATGCATGGCCAGGATGGACTGATGCACCGCTGGGATGTGATGTGTGGCTGGGATGGAGCGATGCGTGGCCAGGATGGAGCAATGTGTGGCCACGACGTGATGCATGGCCAGGATAGAGTGATGCACCACTGGGATGTGATGCATGGCTGGGATGGAGCCATGTGTGGCCACGATGTGATGCATGGCCAGCATGGAGAGATGCATGGCTGGAACAGAGTAATGCATGGCCAGGATGGAGCAACACATGCCTGGGATGGAGCGATGCATGCCCATGATGTGATGCATGGCCAGGATGGAGCAATGCATGGCTAGGATGGAGCCATGTGTGGCCACGATGTGTTGCATGGTCAGGATGGAGAGATGCATGGCCAGCATGGAGCAATGCATGGCTGGGATGGAGCAATACATGCCTGGGATGGAACGATACATGCCCACGATGTGATGCATGGTCAGGATGGAGCAACACATGGCCAGGATGGAACCATGCGTGGCCACGACGTGATGCATGGCCAGGATGGAGTGATGCATGGCCAGCATGGAGAGATGCATGGCTGCAATGGAGCAATGCATGGCCAGCATGGAGCAATACATGCCTGGGATGGAGCGATGCATGCCCATGATGTGATGCATGGCCAGGATGGAGCAACACATGGCCAGGATGGAGCCATGTGTGGCCATGATGTGATGCATGGCCAGGATGGAGAGATGCGTGGCTGGAACGGAGCAATGCACGGCCAGGATGGAGCAATGCATGGCTGGGATGGAGTGATGCATGCCCATGATGTGATGCGTGGCCAGGATGGAGCAACACATGGCCAGGATGGAGCCATGTGTGGCCACGATGTGATGCATGGCCAGGATGGAGAGATGCATGGCCAGCATGGAGAGATGCATGGCTGCAATGGAGCAATGCACGGCCAGGATGGAGCAATGCATGGCTGGGATGGAGCGATGCATGCCCATGATGTCATGCATGGCCAGGATGGAGCCACACATGGCCAGGATGGAGCCATGTGTGGCCACGATGTGATTCATGGCCAGGATGGAGAGATGCATGGCCAGCATGGAGAGATGCATGGCTGCAATGGAGCAATGCATGGCCAGGATGGAGCAATGCATGGCTGGGATGGAGCCATGTGTGGCCACAATGGACTGATACATGGCTGGGATGGAGCCATGCGTGGCCACGACGTGATGCACGGCCAGGATGGAGTGACGCATGGCCAAGATGTAGTGGTACATGGCCAGGATGGGAGGCACAGCCAGGATGGAGCAACACATGGCCGGGATGGAGCGATGTGTGGCCAAGATGGAGTGATGCATGGCCAGGATGGAGCAATGCATGGCCAGGATGGACAGATACACAGCTGGAATGGAGCAATGCATGGCCAGGATGGAGCGATGCATGGCTGGGATGGAGCAATGCATGGCCAGGATGGAGCAATGCATGGCCAGGATGGAGCAATGCATGGCTGGGATGGAGCAATGCATGCCCACAATGTGATGTTCCTCAGGGATGAATTGATTCCTGGCACGGATGGAGCAATGCCCAGCTGGGATGATGCACATTTGGTACGGAGGGATCCAGAATGATATGGGGTTGGAAAGGACCTCTGGAGATCATCTAGTCCAACCCCCCCCTGCATGGGTGGGCTGGGAGTGGGACAGTGGCAGGAGCACGGCAGGGATGGAGATGGGCTGGTGATGGGGACAGGAGTGTGATGGCAGTGGGGATGGGAGCACGATGGGGACAGGAGCACGATGGGGATGGGCACACAGTGACAGTTGGAACAAGAACACAGAATCACAGAATCACAGAATCTTCTAGGTTGGAAGGGACCTTAAAGATCATCTTGTCCAACTGTCAACCCAACTGACAAAAATAGACACCCACACAACAAACAAGGAGCATCATCACTAAACCAGACCTCCCAGCACTACATCAACCCGTCTTTTGAACACCTCCAGGGATGGGGCCTCAACCACCTCCCTGGGCAGCCCATTCCAAGGGCTGAGAACCCTTTCAGTGAAAAATTTTTTCCTAATATCCAGCCTGAACCTCCCCTGGTGTAACTTGAGGCCATTTCCTCTTGTCCTGTCGCCCGTGACTTGGGAGAAGAGACCGACCCCCATCTCTCTACACCCTCCTTTCAGGGAGTTGGAGAGAGCAATAAGGTCTCCCCTCAGCCTCCTCTTCTTCAGGCTGAATAACCCCAGTTCCTTCAGCCTCTCCTCATAAGACTTATTCTCCAGACCCCTCACCATCTTTGTTGCCCTTCTCTGGACCTGCTCCAGCACCTCAATGTCTTTTTTATGGTAGGGGGCCCAAAACTGGACACCAGTTCTCAGCCTCCGCTCAAGACGGGGGTGAAATTTCTTGGGAGCCTTTGGAGGGAACGCCACGGGCTGTTTCACAACGCCCTCACGCGTGGCCAGACCTGAAGCCAAGCCATAAAGTGAAGGAAAAGCCTTTCCAGTGCCAACACAACCCCCACCCCCATCTGCCAAAGGAGCCCGGAGGGAAATCCAGCCAGAAGCATCAAAAACACCCAGGA